ATAATTGTCAATTTAGATAAATGTTTTTTAAGAAACTAGTTCAGATAAAAAGAAACAATCCCACCTGTAAATACATATTGTGGGATATACTTTAAGTTTCAAATGTTATTTTATCTGTTAACCAGTGATTTGCTTTAATAAATTTATCATGTAAATTATGCCAAAAACACAATTGACATTGTAACTAGTATTTATTGTTTATTCGAAACAATTGCATTCCTTGAAATACAAATGTTTATATTGTGTTGATTTATGTTAAAGAAATGAGCGTTTTGTGTATATACAAAACTGGTATTTAGTTATTGTTTTTTTTTGTTTTCAGAAAGGAGTTTTATGGAGATTGTAGTAATTTAATAGTTGAATTTATGAGTTAATTAAAGCTAGACCATCATGAAAAACCTGGAAGCACTGGACGACCATTTAGTCCTAGTATTAGGGTTATTGTTAACCAAATAGTAGAATATGATTTTAAAATAATAGCATGATACAAATGAGATAACCTCATTGATTATGCCCACTTATTTAGTAATGTATATGTGTTATGTGATTTTAAATGATTAAATTGTTTTCAATGCTATCTTCTTCGGTCTAGGCACTCGGGAAGTATCACAGCCCATACACAAATCAAGTGACTTACATGGCGCATATATATTCGGTGCCTCTTTGTACCAATATTTATGTGTTCAAATAAATATACGTCAGATTATTGACATATAATTAATTTTACTTATTTAATGAAGCCATTATATGGATTATAATACACAGACTATTACTTCAAAATAATATATTCCAGACTGTGAGAACTGAATTGTCAGGCGCCAAAGGGACGTGAAAAAAATCTATTCCCGATTGTTTTCAAATTATTAAAGACTGAATGAAGGTATTTATTAATAAAAGAAACTTTTTTTATAAATGATGATAAAAATTAGTTTGTAGTGAAAAGGAATGTAGCATATTTAAAAAAGTGTTAAAGGTCATAAATTATTTGATTGTTTGACTGACTGATGAAATGCCTGAGAAAATCTGCAGTAGTAAATTCATCAGTAATATACTGCAGTCATATCTATATACATAACTGAATATATTGGACTAGATACCCAGGAGAAACATTGGATTTACTTCAAATTCTTTCGTTGAGATTTTACAAATACATTCTTCCTTTTTAATGAATCAATCACTATCAGTTTAGAATGATTAGTTAGTTATAAGTAGGCAAAATATCTTCATTTGTAGTCTTATCGAATGAATATTACATGTTTTGGATTATTTTTACATGATAGTGTTTCAATTAAGTTGTTTGTCATTACAAAGTGAAAATGGGTTCACACGTAAATCATACATAATATTAGGTTTTTAAGAAAGGTAAATTTAAGGACACATATTCATCATTACATTTAGTTGCTAAGTAAGTAGTTTTTCACTGTTATGGTACAAAAATAATGATATCATTTAAGGTCTTTGATATCATCTATCTTTCATTGTTCATTTAATATCATTTAAAAGTATAAGACATTTTATAATAGATAAAACACGACTTATGGATTATTTATATGAAATCCTCGTCATGTAGCATTAAAATAACATTATCTTGTACAAATATGAACTAATGAAGCATAAGGATAACGAACATTATTCAGTTTTTGTTGTTAACAGCAGTACAGTTTTGAATGCTGACTATTGATCAATTCATAAAGTTGTTCCACATTTTCATTTTATAATAGGAGCTTTATTGTCATTAGGGTTCTTGTTAAATTGATTAATATTTTATGAAGTGAAATTAATCGACAAACATCCGAATGACATTTACACAAAATATAGATTACTTTACCAATCTAATTAGAATTGTTAATATTTTCAATTACATTTAGTGATACATTTTCATAGCAAAAGGACAATATCTGGCTTTTAAAATGTCTACTTGAATGTTTCACATTGTGTTTAAGTTCCCTCCTCTGAAAAATATGATTGTAGTGTATAAATTTATTAAGACAGTGGTATAATTTATTAGTTAAGTTCATGAGTCAAATAAACCTAGACTAACATGAAAAAACCGGAAGAACTGCACAGCCATTTCTTCTTAGTATGGGACTCCTTAGCAGTGCACATCCACAATCCCTTAAGTTGGACACAAATTCAGGACCTTCGGTCTCGCACGCAAACACTTAACCTTTAAAGCACGGAAGCTGGCATCCAACGGTATCATTTGTTGGGGTATTCAGAAAATACCCCAGAAATTATCTAATGCTATTCCTGAATGAGAAGTAGTGTCATTTCCCCACTGGTCAACATTCTTCCAACGTGTCATCTTCTTATTGGTCAATATTTATTTGTGTCATTTCCTGAAGGTTAAATCTTGTACAAATGTTACTTTCTATTTTATGGTACGATGTAGTCTGTTTGTTTGGTATATAAACAGTGTATGTTTGAAATATAACGATTCATATCTCCGAGGCTGAGACTTGTGTTCTGGACTCAATTGGCTGGGCTAAACAGGGAAGCAGGACTAATCAGAGCTCTAGGCTGCTCCGTCGTATTTTATGCGTCACTGTTTCGATCGATAATAGGCTGCTCTCCTATAGGCGGATCACACGTTATAACATCATTATCTAACTTCAAGCAATTCACAGTGGTGTAATTAAAATAAGTACCTATGTAAATTGTAATTCTATTGAGTTTTTACCCTATCATTACTTTCTGGCTTAAATAAATTCTGAAAAAAACAATACAGTAATACTAATTTAAATCCGTTATTTATCTCTTGATATTAAGAAAGCAAACATTGTTTCATAAACATTCTAAAGAAACCTGACACTACCCTAAATTAAACATACATATTGCTTTAGCTTATTAGAAAAGTTTCTACCATTACTTATTCATATCATTTATCACTATGAAAGATATTGTCAATTAGTTTCTAAGCGAGAAATGAAAAACTATTTCGTCAACTAATTTTATTTAATCATTGTACAGAATGTACTTAATGAACAATTATATATTGAATAGTTGAATTAATGAGTCAATCAAAGCTAGACCACCATTGAAAGCTTGAAAGCGCTGGACAACCGTTTCGTCCTAGTATGGAACTCCTCAGCAATGTGCATCCACGATCCCACCTCGCAAGATTCGAACCCAGGACCTATCCGTCTCTTGCGCGAACGTTTAATCTGTAGACCACTGAGCTAGCCATTATCCAACAGTGTTAATGTTTAACTTCAACCAATTCACGAAATTGAGCGACATCTACCATTGTCTTCAGTGAGTTACCATCTCACAACAAACCTAGGTGAACTCCACTGGTCACTGCTTCTCACTAGTTCACCGGGAAATACCTCTTGAAGCCAATCACTAGTGACTCGAAGGTGCGCACTGTTGAGGAGTCCCGTATTAAAACAAAATGGTCGTCTAGTACTTCCAAGTTTTCCATGATAGTCTAGCTTTAATTGATTCATCAATTTAACTATTAAATGACTACAATCTCCACAAGAAACTCTTTCTGATAATTATATATTTGAAATGTATACCATATTCTGTTTTGTGAACTATCATAAACCAACATACCATTCATATTAGAGTATCTATTGAATCACAATCTTAAATGAAACTTTAAAAATAAATCATACTTCTGAACTAGCCCAAAAATACCACAACATGTTAGATGTTTTACTTAGAATACTGAGTGTTAAGATACTTTTAATGAAAAATTTTTGAATTAAAATTAGCAAACAAATTTTAACAAAACTTATAAATCCCTGAACAAAAAAAAAGGTTTTCATTTTAGAATTCCTAACACATTGTATTATTATAAGTTATTCTATACTGATCACATAACTAATATGGAGTAGGAATAATGTATTATCATAGGTTTCTTATTTGACTTTTATAATTTTTACCAAATTGTACATTTTATTACCCTTGATATATGGATATTCTTTCATGCATAATTAACATGGCTAATTATATAAATATTTGAATAACATATGACATAAACATAAGTTTAATTCATATATTTATATATGTAATTGAAGGTAATAAGACATATAGCTGTTATTGTAAACAATACTGAAATGTGGCTTTATGTTTCCTAAGCTAACTTTATTTATTACACTATAATAAAAAATAATTATCTTAGTATAAAATCACATTTTATTATTAAAAATTCTAATGCACTGATTTCTAATTAGTATCAGAAGGGGTTTTTGTGGGTATTATGGTAATTTCATCGGTTGAGATCATGAGTCATTTGAAGTTAAATAACCATGGAAAACCTGAAAGGGCTGGATGTCCGTTTCGTCTTAGTGTGAGACTCCTCTGTAATTCGCATCTACGATTCTGCCTATCAAGGTTGGAACTCAGGATCTATCGGTCTGACGCGCGAACGCTTAACCATTAGATCATTGAGCCGGTTGGCATCTAACGGTGTTAATGTTTGACCTTGATCAATCCATGAAGTTGAGCAACACATTCACCTCTGTCTTCAGTGAGTTATTATCTCACAACCGACCTGGTGAACTCCACGAAAATCGCACAGTAGGACGAAATAGCTTTCCAGTGCTTCCAGGTATTCCATGGTAGTCTAGCTTCAAAGGACTCACGTTTTCTAATTATTTTTATGACTCTCTCAAAAAAATTAACCAATCAATATAGATTATATAATTTATCAAGAGAATTTTATTTTATCATATTTGCTTAGTTTTCAAATTGGTTTACATTAACATAGATTATTAAATCGTGCGTTTTACACTTGTTTACTTTAAAACTGCCTACTAATTTGAAAGAAAAACGTAACTAGATTGGATTCACTTGGTATTGTTTACTTGAATCTTCCCATTGATGTTTAGGACTGCAACTGATCAGTCTCTTCTTGGCATATGTACGTACTAGATTAAGCTGATTAGAAAATGTATAGTGTATTAAGAATGATGAAAGATACTACAATGTGTTAATAAGTTTAATAATCTTATTAACTAGAAATAGGATAAGATAGAAATTTAAAAACTTACACAAACACATGATATATTACAGAGGGCCATGTTTTCGGTCTTTCAAGAAAATTATAAATTTTAGCTTGCAACTTGCGATATCTGGTTTCATTACGACTTATACGTATTGTTATTGTTTTACCATGAAGTGATGTTCTTCTTTGTGTACATTCCTGAGGTGGAGGAGCAAGAAAGTGTTTAAATTCCGTTGACGTATTATGTGGCAGTTTTTTGTAATCACAATTATTATTATTATATACATCAATATAGTTTGATTGACTGCATACTTCCAGATCCGTGTCACAATGATATGGATAATGCCCTGTATTTGTATTGCTAGATTCCCATGGTTTATTGTATGAATCATTCGTTACGCTCTCATCGACTGTACTACTACATCCACCAGGATCAATGTTGTAAACTGGATGATTTTTCATTTCTACATCAATTGGTTCATCAACTCTTACTTCAAAGATATTCTTTCGATATTTTCGATCTTTACGACTATAATGATTACATGTGTCCATAAAAACTGGTGAACTGAATCTTGTACTCATAATGTTTTGTTTCTTAATTCATTTTATCGTTAACAAAATTCATTAGATTTTATATGAGGTAATCCATATATTTACTGAGGTAATCCATAATTTTATGAAAGGGAACACAAAGTTAATAAAAAATGATAAAGTTAGATTTGTTTTTTTTTTGTTTTTTTATTCTTAATTTTTTTTAATTTTTTCATCAGAATATCAAGTTTTATCTAATAGAAAACATTTTTATTATAGTTTTATTAAAATTATGTAAATAATAGTATCATGAAAATTTTAAAGGGAGAATACATAAACATAATTCCTGAAAAAATGATTGGTTATTTGAAACAACCAATTAAAATATAGTTTTAATAATGTTTTGATTGGATAAGTTTCGATATTTTCTTTATAATTCCCATTCATAAATTGAATGATTATAATGATAACTGATTCTAATATGAATGTTCATTTAATGTAATCTAATGTCAAATATAACTCCGCCTGGAGTCCCTCCGGGGGCTACTGCTGGTCCTAAGCCCGGATAGAGGAGGAGGGTTAAGCATGGGGTTAGCGACCCCATCCCTTAGAAAACTAACTCGCTAAAAAAACGCTAACCAGAAAAAAACGCTAACACAATGTCAAATATAAAAATATTACATTAAAAGTTAAAAATGTTTTTTTTAAATTTATGAATGCTTGCTCTGTTAGTCCATCACCCTGATGACCGTTATTATATAATTCTCAACAGTTTGAATTCAGAAGTCAATAAGTATTGGCAACTACACTGTATTAGTGAATAACACAAATAACAAAGTTGCAAGCATATCAAGTGAATTAGAGCAAAGAATCTAATGTGGAAGTGAGTAAATACAGAGGTAAATTTTTAGTCAAATCGAATCAGGGTGCAGCTAGGTATGACAAAGCAAAAGTTATTAATAGAATTCGAGCACATATATACATTAGTAAAGAGAGTGAATCATCGAGCAATATTTAACCTAGAGAGATATATGCATAGGCTGTTACATGTGATCAAGTATATATATTCATACAGACATGATAGTGATCATAATAGCACAAAGAAATGTGCGAATTGTTACTGTTCAAATAACGTAGTCTGTTAAATAAGTTAACAAAAAAAATTTAACAAAGTTTAACTATGATCAAAATTCATTGTAGGAGGGTTTCTATAGTGTATATTGAGTACTGTTTCTTTTGTATTATTTAAACTTGTGTTAGTTCTATATCGTTTATTTATTTACTCTGAAGAAGCGGCTTACATTAAGTCACGAAATGTCAGAAATACAATTATCTATTAATTCTTTTTGTTTATAATAATGTTTGGGAATGAAAGTGAACAGACACCGAACATTATTGAAAGATAATTCAGTGTTTGAAAGTGGTGTTAAATGATGAAAGAAGAAAAAAGTAAACTAAAGGATTTCATAACATATTAAGACAATTAAAAAAATATATTCATTCAAAATGTAGTGATTCAATTGAAGGATGATCAAAGAAGCAAAATTATTTAACGATCTAAATAGTTTATAACTTTTAACCTTTTCAATAATTCATTATTATTATAACAAATCACTTTTGAGTTGAATATATTAATAATGATAAGAAGATTGAAACCATCTTTCAGAGAGTAATTTATGAGATGCAGTATTCAAGCACGATTATCATATCAATGACTGATATACAATAGTATTTAAATAATCATCTTGTGCGGCTGAAACGCGTGTCCTGGATTCCACTGCTAGCAACTATCCATCTTAGTTTATAATGCTTGTACTTTAAGGTAGTATCGAGGCAATCTGCACAGGAATCATGTATACTGATAAGAGACTGATCGGTTGCAGTCCTAAACATTAATGAAATAATCCAAACAACCAAGTATATTTTTGTCTCATGAGCAATATAAGACATGACCATACTAAAATAAATTTTTTCAAAGGTTATGATACTACGTCAGAATTTCGGTGGTTTCATTATTAGAACTAGATATAATAGAATTTTTTTAACTACCTTGCCTCTGGAAACCTAAGAAGAGATCTTATGAATCATGTAAATAATAAAATTCGCAAATATGTATATCTTGAGAAACAATTATTATTTCTCTGTTTTTCACCATTATTTTCTGTTTTTCTAGAAAAGATTACCAGCATTTGGTTACAAAGCTCTTCAATTGTCATACCATATGACAGATTGATGTCAGTAATCATGTTATCACTAACTAAAGATTGTTTCCAGTGAATTTTAAAATGATTTTACGGTAATATTAACATAGATAGTTTTTAGATGTACACTTCTGAAAAACACAGTGAAATTCGATGAGTAATTGGATTATTCTTTATCGCTTACTTAGAAGGAAAGCTATTGATTTTAATACATTTCTCTCTTGCCAAAACAAAAGTTTTACCGAAAAAACCTTACATAAATAAAAACTTTATTTATACAAAGTTTTTAATAACAATTTAGATGATAATTTAATGATGATTCGGGTTTATTCAGTGTTTTTTGTCATTGAGATCAAACACTCAAAGGACTAAACATGATTTGAATAAAACTGTAATGAAATTATGAATACATCCATAAATGTTAGTGTTTTTCCTGAGTCGTCGAATTTAATTAATTTCACAAAATAAACGATTGAGTTCAGTAATAGATAATAAACAGAATTCAATCATCTGACTTTCAACTAAACTTACATATTTAACATTGTACAATATAAATATTGACTTATTATATAAATTGGATTGTTTTGTATACTCAAAATTATCGTACTATGTTAATCATATGGAAATTAACTAATAATCTAAAAAATAAATCCACAAAACAACTTCCCTTCTATGTTTTGTTTTACTTTTAAGCCCTGAGAATGTCAAGAATCAAATAACAATTTATTATTAACAGAAATGACAAAATATTTCAAGTACATTAAAAGATAAAATATAAACCACTGAATTCTGTGTTTCTGTTTGTGTTGTTATCATGGCGTATACTGATGAAACACTTACTTAGTACCATATGGATTTTTTATTGATTTACAAGTTTGACCTTGATAGAAAGCAAAAATAATTAATAAAAATTAGAAACAAATCATTTCTAACCAACTGAATATCACAATAAATGTATCAGACAGCTTGAACTATGAAAGGTCAAACTTATATAAATATGTATATATATATATATATATATATATATATATCAAATGAGAAATATATATGAACTTATCACATTTCACTGATAAACATTTTCAATTGGTCATTGAAACAGAAAGGTAGAAACGTAGTCCGAATCACCAACCATACACACTCATATTTACATAGAATCAAATAATCACAGAAAGGTTTCTGTGGATATTATGTTTAATAGTTGAATACATGAATCAAGTGAAGCTAGACAACCATGAAAAACCTGGAAGCACTGGACAGCCGTTTTGTCTTAGTATGAAACTCCCTAGTAGTGCGCATCCACGACACCGCCTCACAAGATTCGAACTCAGGACCTATCAGTCTCGCGCACATGTGCCTAACCATTAGACCATTGAACCGGCCGGCATTCAATGGTGTTAATGCTCAACATTGAACAATCCACGAAATTGAACGACACATACACCATCGTCTTCAGTGAATTACTATCCAATAACAGACTCATACTAGTCCCATAATTGGACCAAACGGCCATTCAGGGCTCCCAGGTTTTCCATGATGGTCTGGAATCGAATAAGTTAGAAATTTGACAGATTTGAGTGAATTGTGAAATATCTTATTTTGATTGCAAGAAAGGAATACATAAGTTTCAATGTTTTCTTCGAGTCAACTTAGTAAATTCAATTTAAGCATCATTCTGTAGCAGTAAATAAATCTGCAAAATAAATGGATTTTTAAGTCTTCGACATTGGATGCTGACCTTATTAGTTTTAATGGACATATCTAGCTGAAGGCACTCAGTCGCGCACCTACACAAGATCACAAATGGGTGCACCATGCTGCGCATCTATTACGACCGTTAGTCAGCTTAGATTAAACACTTTTCGACATAGCAATATATCTTTGGACCTGACTTCTGATATGACTGGGTTGGTATACTCCAATTATAAAGGTGTTACGAGTAAAGACGTTGTCAAAACTCTGAATACCTATGGTATCTTTATGTCGTTCAAATAATGAATAAGAATTCTCAGCTTCTAGTATCTCCATGATTATTTCTGCAATAAGTTCTGATATTAGTGGTTCCCTTAGTGATCACTTCATTTGTTCGTACATTACACTGTTGAACTAAAAATATGTTGTTAAGCATAAATCGATGAGTCCTCGTACATTTTGGCTATAAAGCTCTGTGTTTTCGGAAAATTTGTGTAGTTAGTGTGGAGAGGAGTTAGACTTTCCTTTGCTAGTTTTAGTTCGACCAATATGAATAAGTACGTTACATCGACATTATTGCCTTATTGTAGAAACACATTCGACTGGAAAATATCAAAATCTTGTATAGAGGGAATAATAAGGACACCAAGCAATTTTCAAAAGCTTAGGACTCATGTCGAACAGAAATCAGCAAACACGTCGAAATCGATCAATTCATTAATCAGTCAGAAAAATCATGGTGAAACATTGAACCGAAAATCAGATCAAAGGGAGATACAATCAAATAAGAACGCCGACATTGACAGGTTAAAGGTCAACAATAATCAGTAACACCAAAGTCAGTAAGACAAGCTGTTAGTCGTGTGTGGAAAAATTCGAATACTTCACTTCCACCTGAATTTTGTGTTGATGATGCCGTTCAGAAGAAAGGCGAAAGATCCTCGACTGAACCATCTAGTTCAAAGAATCAAACTCCACTGAACTCATGCACACAAACCACTAAACTTCTGCATTTAAAAGAAATCAAATACTTTTTATCTCATAAATGAAAAAAAAATAGTTTCTGAAATTCATAACTTAACCCATAAGTGAATAGACAGTTTCGCATAAACTTTAGCTTCCTGTATGAATCAGCTCTGTCATTAAAAGCTATGTCTTATG